TTGTGCAGGTCGCTAGTGTTGAGCACGGCTATGGCGCCCAGTTAAGTACCGCTGACGCAGGTATGGCCTCCGCCCCTCTTCCTCTTCTTCTTCTTCTTCATGTGGTTGTGGTTGTTGTTGTTGTTGTTCAGGTCTCCAGTGTGGAGCACGGCTATGGCACCCAGTTAATTACCGCTGACGCAGAGATGTGTTGTTGTTGTTGTTGTTGTGCAGGTCGCCAGTGTGGAGCATGGCTATGGCGCCCAGTTAAGTACCGCTGACGCAGGTGTGACCTCCGCCCCTCTTCTTCTTCTTCTTCTTCTTCATGTGGTTGTGGTTGTTGTTGTTGTTGTTGTTGTTGTTGTTGTTGTTGTTGTTGTTGTTGTTGTTGTTCAGGTCGCCAGTGTGGAGCATGGCTATGGCGCCCAGTTAAGTACCGATGACGCAGGTATGTGTTGTTGTTGTTGTTGTTGTTGTACTGGTCGCCAGTGTGGATGTACAGGTCGCCAGTGTGGAGCACGGCTATGGCGCCCAGTTAAGTACGGCTGACGCAGGTATGGCCTCCGCCCCCCTTCTTCTTCGTCTTCTTCTTCTTCTTCTTCTTCTTCTTCCTCTTCTTCTTCTTCTTCAGGTTGCCAGTGTGAAGCGCGGCTATGGCGCCCAGTTAAGTACCGCTGACGGAGGTATGTGTCGTTGTTGTTGTTCTTGTTGTACAGGTCGACAGTGTGGAGCACGGCTACGGCGCCGAGTTAAATACGGCTGATGCAGGTATGGCCTCCGCCCCTCTTCTTCTTTTTTTTCTTCTTCTTCTTCTTCTTCTTCTTCTTCTTCTTCTTCTTCCCTACTAGTAAGGAATGGAATAACAAATCCTGCAAAGATGGGAAATAATACAATAATACTTACCCAGGGCAATTGATTCATAATGAAAAATATATCCATTTAAAATAAAGAACATTGAAGAAAAAAATATTCTTAAAAATCTATGATTCATTCAAAATTTTTAAAAATATATACTTCTTCTTCTTCTTGTTCTTCTTGTTCTTCTTCTTCTTTTTCTTCTTCTTCTTCTTCTTCTTCTTCTTCTTCGTCTTCGTCTTCGTCTTCGTCTTCATCTTCGTCTTCGTCTTCGTCGTCTTCTTCTTCTGGTGGTTGTTATTGTGGTTGCTGTTGCTGTTGTTGTTGTTCTTGTTGTTGTTGTTGTTGTTGTTGTTGTTGTTGTTGTTGTGCAGGTCGACAGCGTGGAGCACGACAATGGCGCCGAGGTAAGTACCACTGACGCA